CTTGTAACCACTATATCTCAATTAAATCGTATTCCGCCTTATGATAAACTGCATACTTGCAACTAACTTATATGCCCAATCAGCCGGCAAGTATAAATATAAATAAATAGTCTATTGCAGATCAGAACATTGAGTCCAGAGCATGTCTCTTACGAACACACTCATGTTTAGCGATTTGTTCCTAGCTATCTGTCCAAAATTCATATAATTATCACTCACGTATTTAAATTTTATTTTGATAACCATTCATGTGTATTGGTAGTATTACTAAATTCTATCACGGTCAAGTAAAAATGAGGTTGAGAAAATCTCCCCGTAACTAAATAAACCGTATCAAACTAACTGGAACACTAGTTGGAATTCTTCTCCACGGTATACTTTTGTTCCTTCAGTTAGCCTACTGATACAGATGCAATTGGAAATCAACTCATATGGACAACTTACCGGCATAATCGTTATCCGATTTCATAATTTAAACCAAAACTAATACCAATATTAACATTTCTACAATATTCATTATTTTAATATTTCTAAACACAAAATAATTACTACCTATAAGTTAAGTTATTAACACGCATCGTTTTATTATTATTATTATTGTAACCCCATTTTTTTATAGCTTAAATAATCTTCACCCAGATTTTCATTTCAAGCGTTTTAAACATGAAGGCAGATATTTTAAAATTATTACATGTATTTCCAGACCAGATGCTGCCGCTTTCTTTTTGATTTATCTTTCAGCTTACCAATACCCGGAGGATTCTTATTATCCTTGGTAACCTCCGGCGCGCGACGATCCCATCCAATTTGGTATCGAACCAACATCACGTTGATACTGGTGGGAGAGTAGTGTAGTGGCATTGGACAATAGCCACACAATCCACAAAGCTGTGAACACGAGACTACTCAGAAAATACATATTCAATATTTAACGCGGAGAAATACCTAACAATGGAGAAGGCGCGAACAATGAATTGAATGGACTGGGGTTGATCGAATGGCATGGCTCGGCCATGCAGGCGTGGTCCCTGCTGGATGTTATCCTATATCTCTATTCATATTAAATATATTGTTCCTTCTCTAACCTAACCTTCTTCTTCATCATGTATTGGTAATTGATACGATACAGTGAGTTGGCGTAGTCGATGGTGTGACTTCCACGTAAGATCTTATAGATTAGGCAGTTATATCATGACGAATCTACAAATTTAGGATTAGGTCTATTATTAGAGCAGTACTAATATCATAGTAGATCATAATTCTACAGACTCATCTAGCTGAAGGCGCTCGGTCAGGCATCCGCACCAGATCACGTGTGGTAACGCCGTGCTCAACATCAACCGCAATCGCTAGCCAGATTAGATCAGAGAATTCCGATATATTGGTCATCGCCAAATATACTCTTCCGATCTCCTCGACTCTGTCTTTTGATTTCTCTGGGCGGGAACGAAATATATTAGAAGGTGTTACTGGTAGAAGCGTTGTCAAACACTGAATACCTGTGACATCATCAAGCTAAAAGACGAACTTCAGCTATGGGTATCTAGAAAACAAGTCAATACAAAACCGACTACCATTTTAAAACATAAGACTAGCCAGCTTGGCTGAAGAAATACATTGACTTGAGAAGAAGCAGCAAAAACCCAAATAGCAATGCTGATTCGAAGTAAATTTCACACCAACATATAGAACATTACACTAACTGCGGCATTTAGCACACTGAAACATTAAATTACATAGCTACACAAAATAAATAGCTGAAAGAAGCACAGAACGAAGAAAACCGACCGCTATTGCTTGCAAAGATGACGGATATAATAATTCCCGCCCCATTCTGATTGGTTGCTAAGCTGAAGGGCACATTTACGAAATTGAGTTGCGTTTAATTGCAGCCGAATCGTATGACTGATTGTTATTGAAATATAAGTATCGTCAATCGTCGCATATATTTATCGATTTATATCGCGTTAGTAAATAACGGAATTGAAGAAGTCAAATGCGATAACGGATTTTTTAACACGCATATTTTGAACGCTTGTTGGTTGGAACAGATAACCAGAGAGGCATTGCACAGTAGAGGAAAAAGAAAGAGTGGAGCGAATCGAAGTGTCGTGCCGTGGAGAAGACATGTAAGTCAACTCCTTTTTTAATCAAGCGTTAATCAATATTTATAGTCACACAAAAATAAGCTAAAGACATGTGTTGAGTAAGATAAGATATACTCACATATACGCTCATATAGAAGCAGTTAGGGCTGATAAATGAATAATTATTTATGTCAAAATGTGACTCAGGAAGAATGGATAAAATGGCTTCTCGAGAAGCTAGAATAAGTTGTGTAGGATTTACATGGTAACCGACACTACAAGTGTAGGAAGCAATTTCCTACTGGTTCTAGTATAGGACAATGAAGGATAGAGGCTTTCGCTTCTCCGTCACAATATTGAATCAAGTAATTTAGCTTAGCTCTAAATCCAGTATTCTCACTCCCAATGCATTCTTCGAAATTTCTAATGAAGTTCCAATAATTTGTCGGTGTACCATCAAACCTTACGACTTTTCTTTTTAGTAAATACAGATTTTTTGAATATTGTATTCTCACTGTTGCTTACTGATTGGCCGGAACCTTCACATCTCTGTCAGCGTAAATTTTCTAGTTCAATTTCCTTTTCTAACTGGGTTATGCGCAACCTAGCTAACTGTAGTTCTGTCATGCTATTGCTTTCGAGTTCGTCCTTTTCAAGTTTATCCTCGTCATAAACTTCCGAATGATGGGGTGATAACTCTGGAATCTCATCGGAGTCGTAGTATTTATTGGAAGTCATTTCAATAAGTATATCGGATCTATTGTTCGAAACTTTGTAGGAAGCAATTTCCTACAGGTTTAATTCTGAGCTATTCCCTAGACCGTCGAATACAGAGTCTTGGTTTGGTCAAAGTCAGAACAAGCAAGCGATTTGGCTAGATAAACGTTATCTGTTTCTAAAACATAAATTAACATCGTTAGAGTACAAACAAACAGTACGGTCCATTAATACAGGGAAAAACAGATAAATAACATACCGAACAGTAGCCAGAGAATAGGAAAAACGAGTCAATAAAGCGAATATTGTTATACAATGAACATCAAAATGCGATTGGTTAATAAAGAGATACAGTCACACGAGGTCAAAGGGAGTTAATGTGGTGGTGGGTGTTTCACTTTATTATTGGTGGGTTCGTCTATCGATCACATTTCACAAAAAGTTTAGGAAGCTCGATTCCTTGCAAATTGTTCAATGAAGCTGTACGAGACAAGGCGCCTGCCACTACATTGTTTGCCCCAGAAGTGTGTCGTACGTCTGGAGTAAACTGGGAAAAGTGGTCCAGTTGTCGAGACTCTCCGTGGGAGTACTTATCTGAAGACAAGCTAGGAGAGAATGTGAGAGGTTTGTAGTCGGTAAACAGAGTTGATTCTCGGTTTTCCACATTGTTAAAAGTGCCGTACAGCACAATATATGGCTAGGTGTTCCTTGCCGAAAGTGTTATACCCTGATTTAGTGTCTTACAACCGTTACAGGAAAAATGTCAAAGACTGAATACAATTGTTTGTCCATTGTTGTAAGACTTCTTTTGCCGAGTTGCGTGCGTCTATTGTGATATTAATGGGTGCTTTTATGTTCTGGTGTGTGAGCATGGTTGCTTTTGTGACAAGTTCCTTAATTGTGGAGGATGCTTTGTTTGTGTTGTCGTCCAAAGTGGTGACTTTCGCATTTACACGAAGTTGGTTAGTTGAGGGTCTCATGAGAGACACACAATTCGGTGTGAACCATAGATAGAAACTTACCAGGCCGTTGAACGTAAATAACCGCTTGACCACGGTTATTTCTGGGTAATCCATAATGGCCACCACTTTGCTTTTCAGGATTTTTATGCCATTAGCTTCAATAGTGTGTTCCGTAAGAACTAGGGAGTCGGTTCAGATTCGATATTTCTGAATGTTTACATTAATGCCGTTCTTTTGAAGTCGTTAGAAGACAAGGATCACATGCTGGAGAGGACATTCTCTGTGAGAGCTTGTGATCAAGCAGTCATCTACATATGCGTGTATGAAGTTGGTACCTCGAAAGACAGCATCAATGAATCCCTTAAAATTTTGTGCAGCATTTTATAGCCAAAAAGCACACGCAAAAATTTGTGGAGTTCAAAGTTGGTAATAATAACGGCTTTAGGGATGCCGTCAACAGCCATAAGAATCTGATTACCAGCTTAAATCAAAGCGATTTTTTAAAAATGTGCTTTTGCTTTTCAAAGTAGCTGCCGAATAGTGAACGCCAACTTCTGCACCAGTTTTCATGAGAAAGCGAACTTCCGTCACCAAATCAGTGCTGTACAACAAATGCCCTTGTTCGCCAAATCAAGTTGCCAATTACGCGTTTCGGTGGAGGCAAGAAGAGATTTCAGTGTCGGACGACTTTGAGATCGGGAAATTTCAAAGTTTTCTGTAATTTATAGAAGTTAGCCTCTTCGTAAAAGAACCAGGCAAAGATATAAAATTTCAATGGGCGGGAGAATATGAAAACAAAATTACATTAGTTATATATAAAAATGAACAGATTCACAGTTTGTGGATTGATGTGTCAGGAAACGTCGACCCCACCACTAAAGATGTCATGGGTATTCATAGTTTGACAACGCATTTACTAATACACTATTGTAATCGAAGTATGCCAACCCAGTCAAATCAGGAGTCACAAATGAAGAGGTGCGAAGTTATATTTGGAGGTTATCTATATCTCGAGAAGCGTTTGATCTAAACTAGGTAGCAGCTGTGGAAGATGCGTAGTGCGGCGTACCAGCTCGTGAAATAGTGTGGATGCATGACCGAGCGCATTTAGCTAGTCCAGTGAAACTGATGAGGCCAGCATAAAATATTAAAGACTGACAAAAATATTTATTTTAGAGATTTATTTATCTCTTCAAACTTTTTAAATCATGACTATACCAGCAAGTTTTCCAGTCACAGTTTCTAATTTGTTTGTTGGCTTGTACTACAGCAAAGATTTTGCAAGGTCATGATTTTAGCTCAACTATGAAAAATAGTATATGATAACAATGGTTGTATATTTTGGAACATATAAAGTTTCTAGACTGACTATATGTCTGTTATTAATTGAACTTGCCAGTACTCAAAATTGGTGGAACTTCGAATCCTACATAAATCCATTCAAACTTCCTGTATTTACTCCACTGCCAAACCAACGGTTTACTCATATTCCTGAAGTCAATCAATACGTTCCGATGCCAAACGATGTTGTTGTGGACATACCAAGGTTTGTTTCAGCACATGTTTTCTGTAAAATGCATACCAAGGGCCGGGATGGGAAAGTTTATTGGTTTTTCTACTACGATAAATTATGGCCATACCTGGTCAAGGTGGCAACCAACAAGTGGTCGATTGATCAATGCGTTTCTCGGAATACCATATGCAGCACCCCCAACCGATGGAAGAAGGTTCAGGGTTTGTGTGTTTTGATGTTCATTCTATTTGAATACAGTTTCCCGTTCCTGCTTACTTAGATACCCGATTTCCTTGGTTTGCAAAACGCTTTAGATCAGCGTGTATGCAACCATACATCTGGCTTAGCCGATTTATACCAGGCTTTACAGATATAAGTGAAGACTGTTTGTATCTGAACATTTATTATCCAAATGTAAGTTCGTATCATCATCCATTATTTTTTGAACTAATCATGTTTTCATGTACCTTGTTTATAAACGGGACACATTATGATTCTCATGAAAACTTTTAAATATTATAACTTCAAAAGTGTCATACTGTATTTATTATATTGGAGAGTCTTTTAACTAGCCAACCGACCAGTTATGAACGTCATTTGTGAAGAGATCTTAAATAATGATCAATATATAATGTACGGATGTTAGAGTTTTTGAGATGTGTTAAACTGACATACGTCTAAACATCTAATGTAGCTCTAAGAATCGTTACATGCTTATTATTTGCTCTTGATTATCCAAAAAGAGTATTAAGAGGATTTTATGTCATTAATTAGGTGAATTATTGCAAACCTAGTGGTTTTAACTGCACTTCTGCTCTTGGTGCTTTAGTAAAAACACACTAAACTTCATTATTTATGAGTTTTCAGGAATTTGTTTTAGCTTAAATGCTCACGGTGTTGACTGGAAATCTAAAATATGTCGCATAGTTCTATTATTAATATTTGTGTTTCGGTTTACTTTACTCATTCATCTCAAGGCTATGTATATAAGATTATGGTCTACAGGACGGAATTTATGCTTAAAGAGTGCTAATTTGATCCGAAATGTGATGCAAAACGGTGGGTCAGTACCCAGGACTTAATTTAACGTGTATCGTTTTTACAGTAAACGTTGTCTCTCTGTATTGTGTTAATATCACTAATAAGTGATTGCTAAAGTTGGTTTCACCCTAATAACAAGTAGCCTGTCTCTTTTTAATATCCTCTCAGCTGATTCATTTTTAAATAACACTGATTCACTTTACTACAATTTTCTGTTCTGAAAGCTTTCACGATTTCCGAAAACTGCACCTCAATAAAAAGTTAGAAAAACTTCATCACACAATCTTGTACCTTCATTTATTTAGCTGTTGTTATAGACATTGTCTTTAAGTTCGGTGCTTCATTAAATATTTTAACTTAATGTTTCGTAATATTTCTATGTTGCACGTAAAAAGATGAAAATAACACAAGAAATATAAAAGACAAAACGTACGGAAATACCAAACAGTTGATTTCTTGTCGCTTTAATAATGCCCCTATAAGTATATCAAGGAAATTGAAATACTTAACGCTGTAAAAGCTGGACCGGAAAACCTTTTGTGATGAAGATTGATCACCCGGGTACTTTTAAATTTATGTGGTACCTTGACTGCTTAACGAGCAGTTGCTTCAATGGTTTATTCATATAGGAACCTTTGTGATTCATCGTTTTTAGGGCTCTTTCGGTTTGTTAGGAAATGCTGAAGTAAAAATGAATAGCACATCAATTCAACAAATTTACAAGATCAATGTTTATTTACAGATGTCATATTGAGCAAATTGATCCTTTTACTTAGCACCTCAAATATCCAATTTTTGATAGAAGGTAAAACGTATCACTCCTATTTTATACAGGGTACATTCAAATAATAAAAACATGCATATAATCTTAGTTTCTAACCTTATATCTCATGAAGAATGTAATTCTAACAGTCATGGATATAAAAGTAGCATAGCTAAGAAAAGCCTAGTTACTGAAAGTAATTTCATTCGTAATGAGGGTTAAGCAATGGCACTAAGTGATATCTCGACATATATCACGAAATCGGTTGGACTTGGAGAGGTAGGTCATCGAATGTCTACTCAGTGGTTCTGAAGTTTTCGCATTTGATGAGAGATTTGAAATCTTGCGTACCATCTAAAATTAAATTATGAGTGAGCATTACTGAGGAGTATCACAATAGAAAAAATCTCTCCTCATTACTCCCTGGTTTAAGGTAACTCTGATTCATAGCCAATAATGGTAACATGTGACAAAAACTACTTACAAAGTTAAATAGTCTTTGTGATATGTTAACTAAACTACTAAATTAATTTGATGAATTCTTTGTATAGAATAATTCAGGCAGCTGAACTAACATTTCATTAACCTGGTTATCTTTACAGTAAATCTTTTTCTAAACCCTACACACAGATGCAAAAATGCCTTGAATACTTATGATTTAATTTTAATTATAACACTTATTTTATCCTCCTACTTTATACACATATGTTCTAGTTCTTCTGGCCGAGAAACGGTTGATTTATTTTTAAATGAGAGATTTGATTATTTATTTATTTATTTGAACACATAAATATTGGTACAAGAGAGCGTCAATATATATGCGCCACACAAAACAATGAGAATTCGAAGAGAAAATAAAGGAGCGTGAAAAAAAGAAAACAATAACGAAGAGGTTGGTGTAAGGTAGTGTACTAATAGTAATAGTAATAATGAGGAAACGGAAAGGTACAACTAGAAGAAATCTTTCAGTTAAGAAAGATACAACCACCTTTTGTGAAGAAAGTAAAAGAAGGTTACGGCAGGATCGCCACTGGCTTCTATTCTGAGCCATATCTCATAACGTCTCTAGCCACTGTGTAGCACCATCTCTCGGACCCCAACCAGGGAGTCGTGAAGGACCAACAGAAGCCAGTTCTTTGCAGCTTTCTTTCATAACACGACACCATGTCATGCACTGACCACCTCTCCGCTTCTTCCAACTAGTCCCAGAGTCGGCAAATAATGCACGACGTGGAATTCTCTGGGACGATATTCGTAGAATATGTCCAAGCCACCGAAGTCGATGTTTCAAGATGGTGACATGGATTGGATTATCATCTCTGTGCCCGAACACACGATCCCGAACCTCTGCATTACTAACATGGCGTCGCCGCTGGATGTCAGCAATCCTTCGGAGACAACGATGATCGAACACAGAGAGTCTTCTAACATCCTCAACTCGGAGAGGCCAGGTTTCACAAGCATAGAGCAGAACTGCTCTCACCGACGCGTTGTAGATCCGACCTTTTACAGCCAGACTAACATCACGAAGGCGCCAAAGATGGCCCAGATTGGCATAAGCCGCTCTGGCTTTCACTATACGTGTATTGATCTCATCACTCACGCCACCATCAGCACTTATGCAGCTACCTAGATACATGAACTTCTCGACTACTTCTATTTGCTCACCATCCAGGGTGAGTACAGGGTTAGAATCCCGCCAGTCTTGAAGAAGTACTTTGCACTTCGAAGGTGCAAAGCACATACCATACCTACGGACACTGATTGCCAACTGATTAAGTGCGGATTGCATGACTTGGTCATTATCGCACAGTAAGACAATATCATCCGCATACTCAAGGCCGAGAAGTCTTTCTCCAGGCAACAGATCCGCACCACCATTACTTATATCCACCAGGGTTGTTTCCAGAATGTCATCGATGGCAAAGTTGAAGAGGGATGGTGGGAATGAACAACCCTGTCTAACCCCACTGCTTGAATGGAACAATGGAGAAAGGTGGTCGTATGGCCTCACTGTGCTTGTGGTGTTTGTATATAGGGCCTTTATGACGTTAATAAACTTCTCAGGCACACCCTTCTTCAATATACAATCCCAGAAAACAGTCCTGTCCAAAGAATCGAAGGCAGCCCTGATGTCAAGAAACACTACGATTGTTGGCCGTTGATAAGTATGACGGTGTTCTAACATTTGGCGGAGGGTGAAGATGTGATCAATACATCCTCGATCAGAACGAAAACCAGCCTGCTCCTCGCGAGTCAATCTTCCTCGGGTTTTAAACAACCTACGAAGTGTGGCGGAAGCCAATAGCTTGGACGCAATCGGAAGTAGACTTATCCCCCGATAGTTGTTACAGGAACGACGTGAACCCTTTTTAAAGACAGGGACAACTATCGACTCATTCCATGACGTTGGTACACTCTCTAGTTCCCAAAACTTTGTAAACAACGCCGTCAATTCCTTAGTCAAAAAGTCACCACCATCTTTAAAAAGAGCCGGAGGTAAGTCATCTGGGCCAGGTGATTTGTAACGCTTCAAGAGTTGGAGTTCCTTGCGGACTTCCTCCTCATTTGGTGGATCAGTCGTCACCGGCCATGGAGGGCAGGACAGTCTGACCGATGTTGCCGGAGCAGCAGGCCACTTGAACTGCCCTTCGAAAAATTCTACCCATCGTCCAAGACGTCGATGGATGTTAGTGATTGGCGTTCCGTCATTCTCGCATATCGTTTCGCTCTCACCAGACTTCTTGCTGCCAGTGGCTCGGATGAGTTGGAAGAGCTTCCGGTAGTTACCAGATGCAGCTGCTGCTTCCAACTCATTAGCACGCATCGACCACCAGGCTTCTCGGTCCTTACGCAAGCTTTGCCCAATTTCCTTACGTAATATCCTTCGTTTGTGGTCAAACTCCCGGTCACCCGGAGTAGACCGACGGGCTTCAGTGAGTTGTAAGGAACCAGAAGAAACCCAGTACTTATAAGCGGGACGTTTCGCGAACCCACAACTGACTGTTCCCGCCATTTTCATGGCGTCATGCAATTGCAACCAATGTTCATCTATACTTTTCTGTGGAATGGTAGCTAGCCTAGAAACTAGCTCGATTCGATACTTATTTGCAACAGAAGTTGCAACCAGCTTGCTAACATCAATCCGTTGGTGGTGGTCACTTCGTTGGCCACTGAAAAGTAAGGTAAGATTGGCGCAGAACAAAGCATGGTCAGAGTCCAAATAAGTACTCCAAAAGGAGCGGCAGTCTTGTACACAACCACGCCAGCGGTAGCTGACCGCGATATGATCAATATGAGTCCAAGCTTGGGATGCAGAGGGAGAACGCCGGGTGGCGCATCGGCGATGACTGTGCCGAAAGTTAGTGCTAGCCAGAAACAAGATGTGGTCTGTGCACAGTTGCAGTAGACGGTCCTCGTTATCTGACCTGCGACTAACAAGTCCCCATCGGCCACCTAAACGACTCTCTTCTGTGCCTAGACGCCCGACCTGATCATTCAATTCTCCGGCTAGTACTACAATATCTGTCGAACGCACTTTCTGGAGAAGAACAGATAACTGGTGGTAAAACTCATCCTTGATTGCATCCGGGCTGCAATCTGTCGGAGCATAGGCGGAGATGACGAGAAGACATCGTTTCTCACGCCGATTTCTTCTCACTTTGATGTAACTTTCTATTCTAACAGCACATAACTGACTGTCAATGGGGATCCAATCGATTAGAACTGCCTCAGCTCTAGCGCTTAGTGCGAGACCAACGCCAGCAAAACCAGACGAAGGTGCCACAGGGTCCCCGGATAAACGCACGTAGAACAAGCCTTTTGAAGCGACAGATGGAGAGCAAATTTGTAGTACCTCACCAGAGTCTGGAATACGGGTCTCGGATAGACAACAAACGTCGATATTAAGACTTTCCAATGATATAGCCAGCCCTATCTGTTGTCCGACCTGCATAAGTGTGCGAACGTTGAAGGCAGCCAGTTTGAATGGTGCACGTGGTTTCAGAAAAACTGCTTCAGTATTCGTGTTTAATGGTAGCATACAATTTTCAACCGGACAGTGACTCGAGAACGTTTAGATACAGTCAAATTTCCACCAAAGACGAGCCGTTGTATAAGTATAAAGAGGGTGAATAATGTGGTAAATAATAATAATAATAATAGTAATAATAGTTATAATAATCATTTGAATCATTTGATTGTTATTCGAAGCGAGAAATGTAGTTTCCATAGATATAGAGAGTTCATCATTTGCGTGTGGGCTGCGATACTGCCCGGGTGCCCAGACCGAAGCAGGTGGTTATCTTAGGGGACCACACCCCGAGGCTTTGACCTAAAGGTCTAACCCACAAGGCAGTGGAACATCGTAAGGAGATGCAGTCCCATGGCAGCTGGTGACCAATGATTGGTTCATACGCCATTTGTTCCCGCAGGATACTGGAGCCCATGTGCACCATTGGTTTGGGATCCGGTTAAAGCGCCGGACATTCGCTTTTCGTCCTCTCATTTTTGTAAACAACACCCCCTCCACGAGAAGGCAATGAGTAGGACTCCCCTGGCAGAGGGTGTATACGCGCGGCCGTGTGAGAGTATTTCGAGAGGGAGAGCGGACTCTCCCCACTCTCGGCCGTACCAGGACATTTGGGGGCTAATTTTACGAAGCCTAACAAGAGTTAGGTATATATCTACATAAAACTTTATTGAAATTTTAGCATATTCTGTTCTAAAGCTAATGTTAGATTTCAGGGTGCTCGTTTCTTCTTGATTAGGACTAGTCAGTTAAATGTATTTGAATTCTAACTTTGATATGCACACCAAAACTTGAGCCTGGCTATCTATTGCCTCAGGCGCATGATACGTTATTTAATGATCCAATAAGTCGATGTAAGTACGGGCTTTCTCAACGGATGTATAGCTATTCTTTAGGGTTTACAATTTTCAGTCGTTGATATTTGTGACTGCGATAGACCTGCCATGTTCATGACTTGTGAGAATCCCTTCTACACAAGTGGTCTATATCAATACAATTCATTCAAGCTGCTTTATAACAACAAAACTCACTTTTTATAGCCCTTAGTATCAATTAAGAGAAATTGAAAACTCTCTTGATGTTTGAAATTTTGTCTTAAAAATTCAGATTTACCGATTGTTATTCTTTTTATTAAAAAACATTACTGTAGAATACATTGGATGCTTCTAATACCCGTTATCCTGTGATTGTACATATTCATGGTGGAAGTTATGTTTATGGTTCTAGTCATATGTATCCTGGTTTAGCATTGGCTTCCAAGGGTTTAGTTGTAGTAACATTCAATTATCGTTTAGGACCGTTTGGTAAGTTTGCGTTTTGCTTGTTTCACCTCGAGTTTTGAAAATAATCCAGTTAACAATTTTCAGCCGAAAGGGTTTTGTGGTGCTTGGTTTAGTGCGTAGTTTGCATTCACCACAGATTGACCTTGGCCTCGGTTTCACTAAAATCCGTTTCATACCAGTAGAAAACCCCCGCTGACAATGTTCAGCCCTTAGTTCCTGCCTTCAATCCCTGATATGGTGATGTACATCTTCATTGGAAAGTCCCGTACTAATAAGAAACATTTTTCAATGTTTCCTGGAGTTTAATAGCATCCAAAGTGAAAACGGTTTGAGACGAATAGAGGCAAAGAAAAGTTGATGAATCATTTAATACTTTTTCTATTTTCATCATGACGGATCATCGAAAATAACTGGTGGTATTAGATAAAGTATGTAAATGTCAAAAATAAACCAGAGTATTAAAACGTAAGGAAATTCCTTACATATATAGATCAATTTTAGTAAATATGGAAGAATCACAAATGTTGTGTACAAAACGTTTATTATGTCATACAAAAAAGGGGGCTTGGTTAATATATATATTATAAAAAGCAACATAAATTACATTACGATGAAAGTGTACCTGGTTGAATACACTTCGTGTTGATAGTTCGGAAACAAAGCTTTAAGTGGAAGCACACTGTCCGTTAATATTTTATTGGGTTAAACAAATTATTCCTTGCATTCAGACTATGCATATCATTTTTACAACTAGGTGTAATATGCTTTCGACGTAAGCATTTTCATTTCGATATGTACAATAATCAATCATCAAATAGTGAACAGTATCATGAGTTTTTAATTATGCTCCCTGTCGGGTTGTAATCCGGATCAGCCAGTTTCTCAATCTGAGACACTATCAATAGTCTTTTTGAGAATAGTTCTCGATGAAAAGTGTCAACAATCGTTTTCTGTTGACAATCGACAATCAATTAACTATCATGTATATTTTTAACTTTGACAAATCCTTGTAAAGAGACTACCACACAGGAAGAGTGATATGAAAAACCTAATATTGCTTCCTCTAATGTGGTTAGATGGATAAGTTAAGTAAACTCTTTGAAAGTTTAACACTGTCTCATTGATTGCAGATCTACAACACAAAATAAATAAAAGCTCAAGAATTACCAACATACAATGTCTCAGTACAATTTCCAACATTTATGCATCTCTGTTTTCATTGAGCGTAATATAGTTAGTATAAGACGGAATATTTCTTACCAAACTTATTAATGATTTTATTCACTTTCCTCTCCGCATCTTTTGTTGTTTAAGTGACTTTCTGACCTGATCTCGTCCTTGATCTCAATAACATTCACCCATATCTACATGACTCTTCTTGTACTGATAATATTCATTCCATGTCATAGTCATATGAGAATTTATTGCACTCGCATTTCCTGTGTATGAATACGTTTTTGCTTAAAATTGTATCGTTCAGTACTTTACCTTCTGAACCATTAAACGTTTGTTTATCCTAATGAAAATTATGTTGTAGCTATAAACAAAGATAGCAATTTTATACATGAACGAGTATCAGTATAATACAGGAAGCATGTACGTGAGGTATGCATACAGGCGCATACACAGCTTTTGCAATAATTGCACTAAGTGCAATAATGAAAACATTTTTTAAAGAAATTAACGATACATCGGTCTTTTTCGTCTTCAAAATACCACTCATTTTTGACAATGCACTTGGTCCACGTACGTTTTCATTATTCTAAGTGTTTATAGAAGTTCTCGGGCGCCGGATATTCGATTGGCTAATAATTTCTCAATACCAAATATTTTGCTAAAAATGTACACGGACCATTTTCCTGAATTCACTTCAATGGCAATCAGTTTGATGGTTGGTCAGTGATCTGAAAACACAAAACAACCACAGAAATTCGATATTTTTACCAACGTAGAGGATTGATGGCCACCCATTCTATATATAGTCGTCACATTTGAAGACGTTAAGTGACACAGTTTATATCTAATCACACTAGCGTGTAAATACACTTATAAATGACTATGTTAGATTACTGAGGGCTATAGGTATGAAACCATACATGGTCTGAGTTTTATGCCATATATATAAGATGTTTTCATCGTTAAATGTAGAGTGGATCGTTTTCTACGTAAAGCATTAGTTACCTGTATGTTGTACGTATGACTTGGTAACAAGTATCATATACAACTCTATTAATGTCATTTTGCACTCACGCAGTGTGTTTTTATACCACCTATTCATATACAAGTAAATTCCTTTATTAGGTTCTACAGAAATCTGACGATAAAACATGTCAACTTGTCCATATGATGTAATCTAGAAAATAAAAATGGTAAAATCCAGTTCTCTACTTTATAATTCACATACATATACAATAACTATGCTAAATCCTTGCATGAATGTACATGAATAGAAATACAATAAATTGTAAAAAAAAGAAAAACTAATCAGTCAGCACAATCAGTAACATGAAAATCAGTGTGCTTATATTATTGAATAGGTTAAAAGATGTCCAATTCAATTATTTAGTCATTTTTCTAATATTTTTAAACATTTTCTTAACATCAATACCAAGATGTAACATATAAATGTACTGGAGACACATATTACACATCATAAACGTCATTCACTTGACCGAAACTTCCATAAAAGATTTTCATTTGAAAAAAAAGCTTTAGTAACACTTAGAAAAGAGGACAAGCAGAAGAGGACAGACAAACGTTTGGTTTCGGCCACATGTCTTAATACGTAGTGACTGAGCGACTTGTTTATACATGTTATGCAGTCGTTGGATAATTCATATGTTTTAATGTTTGTTTTTTATTGTGTAAGTAGTCATAGTTACATTTTTAAAAAATAACAATCATTTTATTACAAATGAAACTTATTGTTTAACGCCACGAAGAAGTCACACAACATATTGAACATGTGTACTTAAGTATACATTACTGGGTGGTATTATTCATCATGTAAGGCATTCAAAAATATCTTTTGATTTTTCTTAACAAATATTATTACTATGATATACGTTTTTGTATAAAAGCAGAAAATAACAAGGTAGAAAATAACTATGCAGAATATCTGGTGTTTTTTTAACTTCATGGGATATTAGGACTAGTGAATACACAGAACTAGTATGGAGGAATTTTCATGGTGATTATAGAATTCTCATAGTAGAAAATCACTAGTTGAGCTTAGCTAGGCCGCCTTTGAAAACCTGATAGCACTGGATGGAAGTTTTATCTTAGTATGGGACTGCTTAAAAATGTACATCGATAGCCCTACATCCGGGAATCGAACCCAGAACCTTCGGTATCGTGCATGAACCCTTAACCTCCAGACTACTGAGCCTCCAACCACCGGTGTACAACTCTCACTCAGACCGACCCACGATATTGAACAGCCCTCATTCATCGCTTGTAGTGGAGAACTGTGCTCCATCCTAGGATAAAATAGCAGTCCAGTACTTCCAGATTTCCAATGATAATCTAGTTGTGAGCAGTTCTTGGTTTAAAATATATGAAAACTCGAAAATCCCTGTGTATCAGTTTATCTACCTGTTTTTCTATCTATCTATCTTACCTTTTCATTCAACCAGGTTTTCTCGCAACTGGTGATCATGCATCGATCGGTAATTATGGTCTATGGGATCAGTTGCTTGCAATCACTTGGGTTAAACAAAATATCGAATGGTTTCAAGGTGATCCTGAAAAAATTACATTAATGGGAGAAAGTGCTGGCGCGGCTAGCGTCGGTCTTCATTTAATCTCACCGTTAACACGAGAAAGATGTTAGTGACGGTTGTTTATTTTTTTTCGAAAGATGAATGTTTTATGACTCCTTTTTACAAATAATGCGTATTTCTTGAAAGGTTCTGAAAACAACTTTTTGTATGATGTAGAGTGTGTACTACAGAGGAATTCTTAGATCGGGATGAAAGAACTTTATAGCGCCTCCTGGTCTACTGCCCTTTTCAAGGTGATGGTAGCTCTTTAGTAAAAATTATAGTCAGTTTGACGAAAGTTTTCATTAAATATTCAACCAAAACAATGAACAGAGAACTGGTATCAATCATGAGTTGATTTCATATTAAGAAATATTGCAAGCTAATGAGGATTGAATAATTGCTTTATCGACATTTATAGCTCATCAGTAGAAGTAAGCAACAATAAAATAGCCGAAGATCTGAACACATGGCTTTTTTGGCCTCTTAGAGAACGGGTACTTTTAATCTACTGAGTTGAGATTTTAATGGTCCACGTCCCAAGTTTTATTCATTTAGTGATACAACGTCGCAGCTATGTAATACACATGGTTAATCAATGAAAAAATATATAACTAAAATAGTATAGTTTTTTTTGTTTAAAGTAATTTACAATAACGCACAATTATCATCCGACACCACTCGTGAAAACTATTTCACTCTTGACATGCCTGAACTCCACCAGTCATTATTTCTAACGAGAAATTTAGGAATATGTTGAAGTAAGTCATTACTAAGTCAATTATTACAGTTTGATTGAAGAATTTTTGTAGAAATTGGTTTAATCTGTAGGTTGTTTTCTCCACAAATAACGGTATCATATTAAACCAGTTAGCAATGAATATCTGTTAGTTTTCAATAGTAAGTAGCTTATTTTCTAACTGGAAATATAACTCATAAAAAACTAAACTACTATTACTGGCAAAATAATGTTCATGATGAAATCTAATATTTGAAAGAAAATATTCACAATTCCTAATGAGGAATAAAACTGATTAAAGCCCATTTAATGATCAGATGCGACTACTAACATTCATTAATCTGTATTTAGGTTATATACAAAAAATTTTTTCAAAATCATTATTTGTACATAGTAAATGTAGCTAATTAACAGTAATTAGTAGTTATTCCAATAATTTGCTTCATTTCACAAAAAAACTTTTATTAATTTTTGCTTAATAATTCAAAAGTCTAGCTAAAGGGCTTACATTAGTCAGAATGTTCACCAGTGAAACAGTTGTCACCAATAGAATCAGATACGCCATATCTCATCTTAATCAAGGTAGAAGTTGTAAAACCGGACGCAAGTTCTGTGTTTTAATGTATAAGCGTTAAATATGAGACCTGAATGTATTAAGTCCGGTCCCTAGGAGGTTGTATATATACATGAATGATGGCTCCTATCTTAGGTCAAAATAACAGTCTAGTACTCTATGATTTTCAATGATACATCAAGTGAGATCAGTGTTTAATGAATGTAAATTAAAAATTTCAGTCTTTTGACATCAAGAATACAGATGTACAGAATGAAAAAGTCTACAATACAATCTCTTCTTGATTATAATTAAATTAAAATCTAGTCATACGTAATTTAACCTACTGGATATGTGTTACGTATACCAAACCACCAACTGCCCTGACGAGCGAAGTTTTATGTTTTAGGAGTAGGTTGGAAGAAAGATTGGGGTGGCCAGATCAAAGCATGGATCAAATCCATGAAGTCACTGACAAGTGGACTGAGGCATGTTGGTAGGTGTAGACTATCTGGTTGGGATCCGCGAGACGATAGCAACCGATGGTTAGAGACTGTGAATGACATGGCTCGAAATCGTTTGCAATGGCGCAAGTGCGTCCACTCTTTGTGTTCTCCCAAATTCTAATCTTCTGAATTCTTCATGTTCCTTTTTTTCTCTTTCCCAATTTATTTCACTCGATTATACTCCTTGAATAACATCTTGAAACCCGAATGTATCTGATCACTGCTTCTACTTTCACTACCTCTACGACTATGGGAGTAGAATCGACAATTGTATCTCTGTGCTAATGTGGTATAACAAGTCGAACTGATGTACGTACGTACGGAGTTCTACGTTGTTGAGTGACTGGCTGATTTTAGGTCTGATGAAGTTCTAATAGAAATTAAGATTGTTTGCTTATATGTCTCGTTTTAATATTGTTATTATTAATGGATTTCTTTGAATTATGAAGAGTTAGACTAAAAAAATCATTCTAATCAACACATATCTTTCTTCATTAATGTAATAATCATGTTGTTTATATAATGACTAATTTTTGCAGATATTTTTTGAGATGTTAGATGGTTAGAGGTTTTCTTTTTCCCAGCTGGGCTTACCTTGATCTCAGCAATGATATTTATGCTGAGACGTGAACCTATTAACTATCATTCCAAACACTAACGCATTATTCCCTAATCTACTAATCTATTCACATTCACTCAGAGTTTTTCCGTTTCAACAAAACACTTAGTGGTTCAGTTTGTATATTTATAGGACAGATCATATATGTGTACAAAGAGCATGTCTGTTTATTAAAAGACTATTGAAAGCTATAAAAGGTAACTTTTGATTTTATATGTTAGTTAATATTTATTTATATCTATCTCAATCTATCTATAGTTTGATCTAATAGTTAAACATTGAAGCAAAATTCTGTCGATTATTTATATGTACAGGTCATTTATGTATTCATTAAACAAGCAATTTTTCGAATTGCTGTGAAACTATACTTTATGGACGACCTTTTGAGCAACGCTAAACTGACCTTGAGAGTGTCCACCTAATAACTAGAACCAAATGATGGTTAAAAACCACTTTGAGGAATTACAATTATGACTTACAGTTGATGATTAAAGTTAGAAATTAGATTTTGGGTTTTCATCTTGAAGTGGCATCAACTATAATGACAAAACTATTTATTCGAATGAATGAGTTAATTTCGCGCCAAAATCCGAGACCTGTTATCTTATATGTGATTGGTTCGTTCGTAAATTATAGTCTCGCCTGTTTATCAAAAATATTTATTATATAGAACTTATATATACAGTTACATCAAGTTCCCAACTCAGTCTATAACCTATGTAGTGGAAGAAGCCAGAGGCTGTGAAAAACCATGCTTCCAAAATCTAAATGGTTATGTTTACAAGTGGAGTATATATATATATATATATATATATATATATATATATATATTCATTTCATTTATTTATTGGTTCGATGGTTGACGAATTCTTCATATGGATACAAAATTCTAATGGAATTTGCTAGCTTACACTATCTATGATTCTGATAGAATGTCTGACAGATTACCAAACAGATACTTTACTGCGTAATAGTTTTCCGTGCTTTAGTTTATAACTATGATACCTGGTCTTTGAAAATCGATAACACGTATAAGTTGCTAGTATTCAATAATGTTTTCGAGTCATTTTTCGCGTATAGCGCAACCTTTAAGGCTGAAGTTAAGTGTAAGAAACTGGGTAATGTTGATAAATTTTTTTATAATACTATGAACCTTCATCCACTGAGACATATGATTTGTGTTACACATTCTTAACCATCGTCTACGAGAAGTAATATCTTGGTTAGTATGGAAGTAGGAATTAGGCTAAGGTAGCCAGAGCAAAATATCAAAACAGTCAACAAAAGCAACAGCTGTCGTTCTGATCAGTGTTAATGCGTTCTGAATACTTAGTTGATGGTGTAACTTTACCTGACACTTGTTTGAAATGACCATAATGGATTATATGAATTCATTCCTTTTCTGCATCTCCCTCCATAATTTGAATTTTGATGGTCTTATTCCAAAGCTTTCATTTTTCCAGTTAATTTTTTCTATTAAATCAGCTTATTTATATTTTGTTTCACTAATTTCTTCTGTCACTATACTGATGAGAAATTATTTTATTATTTATTTGAACACATAAATATTGGTACAAGAGGGCACCAAATATATATGCGCCACACATCATATTCAGCAAATAAAGATCAGTCTGTATTTCAATATATATGAGCATACCTATTCACTGATTCATTTGTTAAGATATTGTAATGAACACGAATACAGATGGGAATAATCGAATGATAGGAACGATGGGAAAGATGGGAACAACAACCTTACCTCAGATCTTATTTTTTTATGACTAACTAACCGACTAGCTATGATGCTAACAAGTTGTTGATTGTATTAATCACAGACAGATTTCAACTAGAAAACTATTGAAAGCCAGAAAGCACTAGGCAACTATTTTGTATTAGTATGAGACTGCTCAGTAGTGTACCTGAATAACCCCATTGAGAATATAATCCAGATTTGGTAATTTTTGCAATAGACACTTGACCATTAGAACCACTAAGTCGGTATAATTCCAATTCTAATCAATGTAATACAGATAGACAATATTTACATTCTGTTGGTAACAACTGGTTCAACATCTGAGCTTCATCAGTCATGACTTCTCATTAAAACTTCAGAAGTATCTTGGATTAAGTTGCAATGTAAAATATCATTCTTATCATTTCTACATCTTATAGAATCATTGAATCGGTTTATTTTATACATCCTTTGAATATGTATAGTATAGTTATTACCACTTTTCTATGTTACATCATTCCATTCAGTCCTATAAATCTGTACAAGGACAAATCGATTTTTTGCAAATTTTCTCTAATTTCAATTCTACAAAATTATGTAAATTAGTTTTCAATTCGAAACTGCAAATATTAAACAACAGAATATCACATATGTTTAAATTGAATAAATACAAATAGACATAAGCACAACTACACAATGGTGTTCAATATTTTTGCATTAACACTTGTTGTTGTTTTTGCTTACTCTCTAGCACTCCATCAATCAAATCTCACTTCACTTCAGTCACACACACACACTCCCTATCTCCTTATTTCTATGCATAAGGTTTAACCGTCTGTCATATGTGTACATACAGTTCGAATATATATATGCACTCGGTGAGACTATAATATACGGATGACCTTTGGGTGACGCCA